TCTGAGATCACAACTGGGGAGTGGGGGCAGGGAGATCCTTATCTCCCAGCCCCTGCTTCGCCATTGCAATCAGGGAGTGGGAGACTGGGAGACCCTTATTGCCCAGTGCCAGCTCCACAGTGGTGGGGCCGGCGCTGGGAGACCTTTATCCTTATACGGGTCTCCTAGCCTGAGCCCTGTGATCACAGAGCTGGTGCCAGGAGATAAGGGTCTCCCAGCGCTGACTCTGTGACTGTGGAGCTGCTGCTGGCAGCTTCCTGCTGGTGGGGACTGGGGAGCCTGTTCTCTGCTCAGCTCCATGAGTGGGGAACAAGCTCCCCAGCCAGTTTTCCACTCAGTGCTGTGCTCATGAAGTTGAGTGGGGAAGAGGCTTCCCAGCCTCTATCCTGCTGTCACAGAGCTGGGGCTGGGAACTGTCCCAGTCGGACAGGTCCTAGCCCTGTGCCCTGATTAGTTGCTAGCTGTCCCACTGTTGGATTGGGGCAGGGGGCTGGAACTGCCCCTCCCCTGCAGCTCTTTCCATGATCTGGGAGCTGGGGCCAGGAGCTCCCTGCTGCCAGGGTAGGGGGGACATTGTCCTCACACAGCAGGAGGCAGCCACCAGGGACAGGGTGTAATGTTCCAGGCGCTCCCTGCCAGTCCCTGGGCCAGCATCCAAGGGGAGCCTAGAGTTGCCATTGGTGATGGCAGGAGTCCATGGCAGGGCCCCGGGAGGCAGGAGCAGTTTGTTGCCATTAGGAGCAAATCTGCTCCTGCTTCTCTGCACATGTGGATGCGTGCCTGAGTGTTTACTCATGAGTAAACTGCTCCAGCATCAAATGCACATGTAGACATACCCCTTTTGTACAAAATCCCAGTCTAACAGCATTATATTTGATTATAAAATAAACCCATTGGAATACTATGGCTTTGGATACCAAGTAATCTTGCATTTTAGGGGGAGAATGTAGCAAAACTTCAGCTTAATGTTCTTTGAAACAAGTGGCCCTTCATTAACATTGTCTTCACGGATTTTTTTTTTTTTTTTTTAGCTTTGTTTGCAGTCCCCAAAAATTACAAACTCGTGGCTGCACCTTTGTTTGAACTTTATGACAATGCACCAGGCTATGGACCCATAATTTCCAGCCTTCCTCAACTTTTAAGCAGGTATAGTGATTTATTTGTATGCCAGTAGTGCCTAGGAGCCTTGGTCACAGACTAGGTACAGGGCAAACCTGCAAGGAAAAGACTGTTTGTGTGGGGGAACTTGAAATTTAAGTATAAAGATAGGAGACATAATAGAGCAGGGGTGGGCAAAATGTGGCCTGCAGGCCAGATGCAGCCCTCCAAGCCATTCTGTTCGGCCTGCAGGGCCCCTAAAATTTTTAGAAAATTAGTATTAATCTGCCCTGGGCTGCCTGTCTTGCGGCCCTTGATGGCTTGCCAAAACTAAGTAAGTGGCCCTCTGCCCAAAATAATTGCCCGCCCATGTGATAGAAGCATGCGGAAGTGCAAAGAAGCATGAAGCAGTATTGGTTAGCACAATAGCTGGTGGTATCATCATATAAGCAGCTGACCTGTTTTAAGGAGTTCTTTTGTGGTCATCCCAGCAACGGAGATGTTTGCATGTACTTATGGGGAACTGTTTCTAGTGGGGAGGGGACTAAGGTGCTCATTTGAAAATTGAATGAATGGATGAAGCATTCACATTGCAGCTTCTATGCTGATTTCTCACAGATATCACTTTCAATTGGAAGAAAATAAAAACTTTTAGCCTGCTTTACTGAAAATAGACTGTACCTTGTCAGCCTCCACAGCTTACTTATTTTACTCTTTGTTCTGTGCGTGCTGCTGAACATCTACCGAAGTAATTTGCTGTGCATCCCACAGTTCGTTAGTTCTCTGTCAATGAAGGAAGCTACATTTTTCAGATGGTCACCCAAATGCATGGAATAATCTCATATTATTATGAGAAGTCAAAGCTGGTATCATCTTTAACAGGCCGGACCTCTCTCTTTTTTCCTCACCTCCCTATTCCTCTGCTCCCAGCCTTAGCCAAGTGGGTTTTCATCTTTCCTGCATATAGATTAGAAAGGAAGTTTGTACTGTAACAACTAACAAAATGCTGATCCTTAGATAAACAGAGGTTGTAATGATGTAATCTGCTATTTCTGTAAGAGCCTAATCCAGAGCTAAATTTCTAAATTATATGTGCTTGCTCAAAAGATGCTAAAAACAAAGGCATCTGAAAACTGAGATAGATACACACTACCTTCACTGGAATGTTAAATTCACTAGTACCTGCATAACAATCTCTTAGCGCAGAGTAAACCTTGTTTTTTAAGAGCTGAACTCTAGTTGTTCATATGCGACCCTGGAATGTTTTGTTGGCTAGCAATCTCCTGGTGAGCGCACAACTCATCTTGGCTTTTCTGTTATCTGAGAGGTTATTAAGGTTTGAGAAGAACCAGTTCTACAAGATTGCACCCTTCAGTATACTGACTGAGCATAGTGGCTGACTGGTATAGACAATATTTGCTGGTTGTTGTGAAAAATGTCTTTGCTTTTTATCGGATGTATGTTTGTCAAGAGTAGGAATCGTGCATTGCATGCTCATTTTAACACCTCTTTAAATATCACCAATAAAAATAAATCTTAAATGGCACAATTGTATCTTCTTTTCTATTTTAGGTTCAATTTTATTTACAACTGAATTCCATTCTATCTGAAGAGTGTGGTAGAAGAAGCCGTCTCTGTGAGCACAGCTTTAAGATGTAGAGGAAAGAATACATGTGATGCAAGGATTTTTTTATGTCTCTCTCTTTTCTTTCCCCCCCTGCTCTTCTCCCCTTTTTGCCCCCTCCCCTACCCACCTTTAATGTCACAACATTTTCTATTGTAAGAACAGAAGTGAATCTCGACTGTTTAGATAGTGGGATGGCAAATGTAATTCAGTGTTTTAATCCATTTTCATTGTAATATTCTCCTGACTTTTTTTTTTCTACAACATTAAACAAAAATGGATACATCTCATTTGTTTAAGATGTCTTCCTGAAGGTGGGTGGGAGACTTAAATCTCTTGCTTTCTTGGCACAGGTTGAGAACAAGGGTAAATCTGGTTCTGCCAACCAATAAGCCCCCACAAATGTTGGAGGGAGGGATGATCTTTCATGTTAACTATGCATTGCATCTTGCAGAGAGTCTGACAACTAAGAAAGGCTAGAATTCTGGATTGAGGTCTGAATGACTTAAAAACAATAACCCAGCAATTCATTTGTTTTGTAAGCGCAAATACTGAGTGGCAATGTGGACCAATGCAGAAAGCATTATCAATAAACTGGTGGAGTGACTTGACTGCTCATTACCAGGGATCTGGGTTTTCCGTTACCCATGGAAAAATGGTTAAAAATGTGGATTTTCTCCTTTACTCAAGAAAACTGTGGATTTCTCATTTTAAAGGAGAAACATGTAGATTTTGCACTTTTGCAAAGAGCTTTTTGCAGCCTGGCAGAGTTCCAGCCTGCAAGGGGCTGGGGTGGGGAGCAGGAGGAGGATGGTCAGGCAGGGGCCTCCATGTGCATGTATATGCACATGCCTGCCAGGGAGCCAGGACAGCAGCTCCTGCAGGTAAGTTTGGGTGGGGAGAGAGGGATTGAGGCCCCCCATAGGGAGGGGGGCAGTGAGTTGGACAGGGCTGGGGCTGCTGCCTAGCCAGGTGGTATGTGGGGCCTGGGGCTGGAATGTGTGGCTGCAGGGCCCCAGCAGAGAGTGTGACCTGGGCTACAGGTGGCTCCTCCGGGGGGTGGGGGCAGTGGGGCTGGCTCCCTGCTGCTGCTTGTACTCCCAGGTTGGGCCTGTGCCCTGCTGATCTGTGCATATGGCAGGGGCGGGCTGCCCGCTGTGGGCTTTGGCTCCCCACTCTGCTGCCCTCCTCCTGGGGTTTCTGCAGCCCGGCAGGTGGGACCCAGTGTGGCAGGGCAGACTGGGGAAGCTCCTTGCCGCTGTGAGCCCCGTGTTCTGGTGAGGCATCCCCTGCCCGTTCAGCAGCAACAGGGACAGCAGCATGGGGTTGTAACCCTTCGCTGCTGCGGGGCGGTCAGAGGGCATGTCGCCAGGGCAGCATGGAGCTCACAGCGTGAAGGAGCTTCCCCATCCGGCCCTGCTTTGCCCTGCCATGCTGGGTCCCACCCCCTGGGCTGCAGAGGGCCCCAGGGGAGGCAGCAGGGTGGGGAGTCTGAGCCTGTAGCAGGCAGCCTGCACCTGCCCCCTCATGGGCTCTGCTCCAGCCCCACTGCCTGCTGAGGGGAGGGGGAGCCAGGCTCTGCTATGCTGCGGCAGCTGGGGCTCAGGCACTGCTGTGGGGGATAGAGGGCTGTGGACCCGGGTCCCTTGGTCTGTAGCCCTGGCAGCTGGGGGCTCCCTCCAGCAGGGCTGGGGGGGCAGGAAGCTGTGGGGAGGAGTGATGGGCACCAGCAGGGCCCAGGTGACAGGGAGTGGGGCAGGGAGTGAGAGACACTGGCAGGGCCCAGGGGGCTGTGGGTGGGGAGTGAGGCCTGGACCTATGTTCTGTGAGTTAAGGGGACAGGGGGAGCTCTGATTTTTTTCCATAATAAAAGATCCCAAATCAAATTCTAAATACCTATAAATTTTTGTATTTATCTTATTATAGTGATTGAAGCATTGGTAGGCTTCCAATTTGCTTTAAAATTGTAAATATATCAATTAAACATTGTGTTCATCAGAGAATTTGTGACTTTTTTTTTTCTTTTTTTTAATCGGAAAACCAGGATCCGGGCTCATTACAGATCTCTGTAGATGTTGACCCAAAACTTTTAATACAAATGTCTTATATTAAATAATCTCTGCAATCCAGGTATAACACAGAAATACTCTAAAAAGCCCTAAAGAAGACTTTGATCTAGGGGGCCATGGCTATAGAACTGAATCTGGGTTAAGCCAGTACATTTAAGAAGTGTGCACACTTGTTACCTGGGACCCGTTGCCTTATTGTACAGAACTCCTTTAGTTGAATTGTTTATTTGTTCTCTCAAAATGGAGCATTCAAATTTGGAGAGGTTTCCTCAACACATCTCCATCTATTGCAAGTATTAAACACGTTAGAACTAGGGTTTGTTTGTTTTTTTTGTAGGGGTGCACTGATAAAGGATTTTCTTGGCTGATACTGATAGCCCATTATTAACCAGCCATATTGGCCGATACTGACTGGGGTGTCAAACTCATCTGGCCTCAGGCTGGATCAGGGTTGCTGGGCTGGTCTGCAGGCTGGATCAGGCCATGCTGGACCCAGTGGGCAGGGCCAGTCTGGTGGGATGCTGTACGCAGTGTGCAGCTGGTCCAGCCCCATGGGCAGCATATGCTGGCTCCACTCTGGGGCTTCCTCTGCATGTGGTGCCTGGGGCTGGCACTGGGGATGTGCTGTATGGGGTGCTCTGTTGGATTAGCTCTGCATGCTGGCTCTGGAGCTGACCCGGATGTCTGTGCACACGCACATTGGAACGATTTAGGGCTAGTCTGGAACCTGCCCATTCAGCATGCATTGTCGAGGGTGTGCAAAGTGCGCTCTGAAATGGGGCCAGCGTGTGCTGCACATGGCATATGGGGATGGACCAGCTGCACACATTGCATGTAGTACAGGAGACTGGCATGGTGCACGTGCTGCAGGCAGTGTCCTGCTGGCCAAGCTCTGGTGTGGCTCCATGATTATTTCTTATGGGTAATCAGACATCACAATATGAAGTGCTGAAAAATATACGGCAAATATTAAAAAAGCAAGAAATAAATGTACAGTATTATGTTACATTTTAAAATTGCCAAGTATTAGTAAGTGTGGGCTAATGATTTTGTTAATATAAAACCTGGTTAACTGACTTGCTGGATAACTTACTGTGCATGAGTCTGACAGCAACTCAGGGTGTAGGATACTGTTTTTTCCTGAAAGGTAGTTGGCTCCTGCTGCTTTAAGAGGCCTCCTTACTGTTGGTAGAAATGGCCCCAAATACCCAGAGTATCCTAGACCTGAGTTCCTATTCCCACAAGCCCCACCCCAGCCCTTCTTGAAGCCACTTCATGCTTTTGACCTATAAAAATATCCAAGTTGTCTAGGGACAGCTGTTTCCTCACCCCCATCGTATAATCCTCTCCAAGGCTCAGACGAGCCGCCGGATTGCTGTGAGACTAAGGGAAGAGCTTTGTGAGAGCTGCCGAGCAGGCGCTTTCCCGGGCAGCGCCGAGTTACAGGAGGCGAGGTGGAGGGAGGCTTGGGGAAAAAGGTTTTTACAGCGGCAGGGTCTGGTCCTCTGCCTTCCTGGACGTCTTCTCCTCGCTGGGCCGGCCAGCCCGGAGCCAGCTGAAAGGCCCGGCTCGCAGACGGAGATCAGCCGGGCTCGGCGTTGGCCTCCCAAT